TTCATGTTGCTGCAGTCTGCAGTCTGGACGTTAGATGTCGCTGAAAATTACACACTGTAGCTTTAAAATGTGAAAAAAATACATTGACTTCATAGCAAAGTTTCTCTCAAAACCTTGTTGAAGTAAGAAGTTTCATTTGTAATTGATTGAATAATTTTTTTTTTCAAATTTCCATTTACAAAGCTTGTTTTTTGAAACAATAATGACAACTACAGTATAATAACCAAAGTCACTCCATAAAAAGCAGAGGATGTGTTTACATTTAAACCACTGTGGTCTGAAAACCCAGAATAAAAGTTCAGCCAACTACCTTTGGAATAAGTACGGTAGTCACAGATACCAGATAGTCCATCTGTGTGCAAATTTATCGCTTCCTATGTCTAGCTACTTTGTAAACTTAGATATTTATTAGGGAACATTATTAAAAAAATTCCATCATCAGAAGACTGGTCAATCAGAGCTGAAAAGTTTAAAACAGGAAAAGGTTATGAAATAAAGGCACAAATATTATTTCTCACGCAAAAGGCTGATGGTTATTCTGGAGGAGCTGTGGAGGACCACTGCTCAGCAAACCTGACCTTTATGAAAAGGCGCAAGAAAACCGCCATTTAAAAAAGAAAAGTGCCATGAAGCACAGTAAACATTTGGATGAACAAGCTTAGGTCTTATGAGACAAAAGTTAAACTTTCTGGTTCACATTAAAAGCAGTATTAGCGGTAAACTTTTCATCACCCTTAAACATCCAAACCTTCCATTAAACAATATAGTCCTACCTTGCTTTGGGTATGCTTTACTTCAGCAGGACAAAGGGGATACGTTCAATGTTGTTTGGAGGGAGTAGTTGAAGAAAACCTTGAAAATTTGTAATTAATTATAGTTAATTAGGAAGTTTGAGTAATCACCATTCTTAGCATTTTCCATGTTCCCTCTTTGTGGAAAAATCAAAACTTTTTACTGCTTTCTGTGTTGCTATGCCAACTATATATGCAGTGGCAAATACACTACAGACCTACTACACCTCTTTTTCTATATGATCAGGCTCACTCTTCAATATGTGCACAAAGAATGTTTCTGTCTGTAGTTGTTTTGCATTTCCACCACAGTTCATTTTACTAAGGGAAGGACTTCAAAACACTCCAGAGATCCTTAAACTCTATGGACAGTAAAGAAGCTACTGTTCTTTCCTCCGCAGAGATGATTGAGCTTGACGGGGATGAGGAGAGGATATCATCCCAAGGAAGATACGCTGAAAGGGACATTGTTCAGGTACAGATTTCTAACACCTTTTACGTACCGGAATCTTTGCATTCAGATAGGGGACAGAGTTAATAGGGGAAGATCTGAGCGTCTGACTCTGTGCTCAACCCAATTTACCTACCTTCTTTATGGCACACCCCTTTTCTTGTCGTTTTTAATGTTTTCTTAATTGTATTCTTTTTCCCAGCTTTCCTACTTATATGGAGTGAATTTTATTCCATAATTGTTGTGAGCAAAGACCACATTTTGTAAATGAAAACTTAAGAACAAGTTTTGTAAATGGATACTTGAGAAAAAAATGGTATCTGAAATTTTTAGTGTCATTTGAAAAAAATGAAACTAAAAATTATAATCAAAAAAAGTTTTTTTAGTGTAACTCTGCTGTTTTTCATAATTTATTTTTATTTTATTTATCCAGTCCGAAGCGCGGATAACGTCATACACACTCTGATTTAAAAAAAATATATATATAAATATAAAAAATATAACTGCGGCTGTCTGGGGGTCAGTGATTCGCCTAGATGTTATGAATGCTGGCGTACCATAAAGAATACATTATGAACAATTAAGTTTGTGCCTTCAACTCATTGCCCATAAGAAGACTTTACTTGGATATAACCTAACCGAATATCTTCAGAACAGCTCCAAATTACACAAAACTCATATGGGTGAGTAGAACATGATGTAATAACGTAAAATTAGGGGGCCAATGTAAAAAAAAACGGTGTTCCCTTTAATATGAAAAAGAGAAAAAAATCTAAATAAATAACATTTGTAAGACATACAAAAATAAAGTGGGAATTAGAAAACAGAAAAAGAAATTAGATGAAAAAAATCTTAAGAAAATATAGCAAAGTAGTTGTCAAATCCTTTTTTTATCAAGAAGATTTTGTGTTTGTTTTTTTGTTTTTTTTCATTTACTAAACGTGTTCTTTGATTGCAACAATAATGGAATAAAATTCACTCCATACTTTCATAAACTCTGCCTCACTTCTCCTCCTGTTGATTTACATCTCCTCTCTCTTTTCTACTCTTCTTTTCCTCCTTAGTTTGTTCCTTTCAGGGACTACATCGACCGACGAGGAAACCACATCCTCAGCATGGCTCGCCTGGCTAAGGAAGTGCTAGCCGAAATACCCGACCAGTTTCTATCCTACATGAGGACCCGAGGGATCAAACCGGGCCCCCAGCCGCCACCTTACACACCCTGCCCTCCTCCAGCCATCCACCCCCTCCACACTAGACGGGTGAGCCGGATCTAAAGGCCAAGACCCCACCCCTCATGTTGGCTGGCCAGCTTCTTATCTTCTCTTTGAGCTTCCTTTTCTTGCTATAGTCTTCACTGGAAGCTTCTGAGCACACGGTGAACTTCACCCGCTGTCTCATGTAGCACTTCCATGAAAGCCTGGCTGCAATGTGTAGTCTTATCTGGAATGCTGCCATGTTCTAAAGGACGGGACTTTGCAGGATTTTGCACTGGAGTATATTGAAGGGTTGTGATGGTTTGAAATCAGTGGAGCGAGAAAGCAGGATGGCTTCCAGGCTGAAAGAGTCCAAACTACTAAGACTCTCTTGTGGAAAACACTGTCCTTTCTTCTCTATTCTTCTGTATCCACTTCCTCAATCTTTCACAAAAAAACTCTTGATACTTAAATGTTTACAAGTGAAAAGCTGGGAGGTTTTTTTCAGGTGAAAAACAATTTATATCAATCAATGTGAAAAGCTTTTAGATCCCTATTTTTCACCCTGCTAAACCAGGAGGTTGTGAATTTATTTAAAACTTTTTTTTTAGTTATTCTTTTTGTACAGTGAATATCTGTTCTCTTTACATAAATAGAGCATGTTTTAGTTTAGGAGAAGCATGTGCTGTTGTCCAACACTCAGGGCTTGTTCCCTTCACACCGCCGCCACCGCCGCTGCTACGTTACACCACAAACAAACCCATCCCCCTGCCTCAGATCTTCCCTCCTTTGCTCCGTCCACCTGCAATGACTCGAAAAAGGAAGCTGTGCTCTCTGGGAGTCTGGTCAAATCAAAATGCAGCAGGGACTCGAACAAGCCTTACTGTTCTGTCAGAAAACATTTCACAGGCACCCGTATCCACCGTGGCTTCTGAAAACGAGGCTCTCCAAGCCCAGCAGTCAAAAACACGTCATTACAGAGTTGGACTGTGAGCTGCGATCTACAGCCTTGTTATTTTTCTGGGAAAACACTGCACTTCAGAGGCATTGTCGTGTTTTTGTTACGTCTCTCTACCTCTTACTTTATTCTGTACAAAAACTACATTGTTTGTTTTGTTGTAAATAATAATTCTTGTAATCTACATTAGTTAACCCAAGTAAGGGTTACTTTTCTCACCAATTATCCTAGAGAAATGCCAAATTGCTGGTTTAGACCTTTCTCTGCACTTGGTTTCTATCAGATCAGGTGACTCAGACCTTAGTGGTAGCAACATTCTCTAAATATGTGCACAAAACAGAAAACCAACTGATGAATCTCAAACTTCTCAGCCAATACGGTTCACTTAGACTAAAAGGACTCTCAGAACTCATTAAAATGCTTTAAAAGAGTTTTTTCTTCAACTTCAGATTTTCATATCATCAAACAAATTTGAATATCGGTCAAAGATAACCTGAGTAAATAGAAAAGTCCTTTAATTACTGGAATTGCTTATTAAGGGAAACATCATCCCAAACCAGCTGAACCAGTGTCTTGGAGTGATCGCCTCAGAAAGTTTCTGTGGCGATAACTTTAGCCCGCTTTATTTGCAGAGTTGTTCTAATTCAACCACACTGATGGGTTAAACGGCCTATTAAAGGTTATGATACATCTGTATTATGGGATTCAGACTTTGATAAAAACACTACAATTGTTTAACATTTTTGGTAGTTTTTTTTTTTATTTTTTTTAGCTATTCAACCAGAAAATACACTGAAAAAAATGTAATGCAACCGCTTTTTACTTAATGCTGGTGAAGATTCTCAGTCATGCAGGTCATAGTCATTCTGTAAAAGTTTTTGAATTAAGAAAACTTCCTGGAGGGAAAGCGAAACGTCTTCAAACCTTGAAAACAAAGTCCAGTTGATTGTTGTTTTTTTTCAAACTTACACGGAAATGTTACTTAATCATATTTAGTTACTTTAACACCATTGTTTCATGTTAGAAGGGTAGGACATAAAATAATTATGATAGACTAAATGCCAAAAACCGTTGCATTATTTTTTTCAGTGTAGTGGGCCTAATTGGGTTTGTCCTGCTTTGTAATGACAGTCAGACATGAGGTGAAATAGGACAAACCCCTGCCAAAATGTATCTCTTTTGTCTCATCCGTAGACAACATTTGTCCCCTAAAGTACTGGGGTTCGCTGAGATGAAACATTTTGAGATTTTGTGTATTTTGTGGGTAGGGGAGGATTTCTTCTTTGCTGTGAGCTTTCAAATGAAAGACATGAAAGTCACCCTGAGGTAAATAAGGCTTGTTCAGCTTAAGATGTTGATCTGGGCTTTTTGGTGACATCCTGAAAAGTCATTAACTTAAAAACTTAAAAAAGCTTATTTTTTTATCAATCAGGAAGCTTATGGACTTAATTTTTAAAATTTCCATTGAAAATACGTTCTTTATTTCAACAACAAATGGAACAAAATCCCATCCATACCACTTTAGCAATTACTCATTTACTTTAAACATTGGTTGCAATATTTTTTATTAAAACCAAATTTTTATTTAAAAGATGTGTTTACTCAGGTGATCTTTGTCAAACAAGCTAAAACATGCAGTAAATCTGGCAAAAAAAGTAATGTATAAGGGATTAAATCCTTTTTAAAGCAATGTTTAAGTCCTTAGAGGAGTCATCATAAAAGGTTCTAGGGATAGAGGGGCTCTCTATAGGGTGTTTGGAAAAAATAGTTCCCAAAATAAGAACAACAAAACTTTTTAGGTTGCCAGCTAAATGAATAAAATTTACCTGACATGGAAGAAAAGGGAAATGGGAGAGGTTGAAATAGGATTTAACAGCAAAAGTAGGATGTTTAAGCAGACATTTGGTTTCTTTGTAATATTACCTACTTCTATTAGATATAAAATAATTGGACTCCTGTCCTGCTCATTAAAGTCCAGTTGCACTCAACTGAACTATGGCAAAAGAGCATCACATCTGTCCCAAACAGACCCTGCCTTACGTAACAGCTTTTTAAGGAACACAGACACGCTTCCTGTTACTCTTTCATATCGTAAGTGTTCATCTGAATGGACCATTTTCCTTAAGGTCATTCTGTATTTCATGTGCTCAGGCAGGCACGGTCTCTTTGTGAAATAACGCTAGATACATGGGCCTTAAGGTTTATTTGTTTTTCCGAGACGGTTTTTTCCGTCAAAGCTTGTCAAACTGATTTTATTCGCCATCATATTTTTTTCAGGGGGTTGTTTATACATTAGTTCAACACTAAATGGTGGGAGGGAAAAAACAAGACACATTTTGCTGGCAGAATTTCTAAACATTGAAGAAAAAAGTTCTTCAAAATTTAAATGTCTTCTTTTAACCATCTAGACTTTGTGACAGCAGCAGCATCTTTTCCCTTTCATTAGAACAGTTTCAGTGGACTAAATTTGCAGCCTTCACGTTTACCTTAGATTCCGACTGATTGCTGAAGTAAATATTTTGAATTAAACATTAAAAATTTAAAGCGATTACAACTAATAACTCAGGATGCATGAAAATTACACCGGTAAAATGTTAACCAATACAGAAATGTTAGACATAGTTGGAAAGCTTAGATTGTCCACAATTGAACCACCAAGTTTGTTGTAAGGACACAGCGAGCACCAAAGCACAATTAACATAGATGTAGCAGCACGTCAAAATGTAGACATGACAAAGCAGCCCCAAAAAGCAAGCATGTCTTTACTACTGCTGTTCATAAAAGACCTATTATTTTTCCAGAAAAAACAGAACAACTTTGAGTCATGTTTGAACTGATGCAGCTTGGGCTGTGTTTTACTCATTCGGTTTTCATTTATATATTATTAGAAACTAAAAGATGTTAAATGTCAAATAATGTATCACACATGTAATTTGTGCTTACAGTTCCTAAGTTATTTGCTTTTCTGTTTGGGTATGCAAAATAGGCTTCCTAGAGTTTAAACACCTCTATATTACAAAATATTACACTATTACCCTATAGTATTTCAACTATGTTATACAACCTAACATATGAATAGTCTAGTAATAACTGATATCATATTAGCAGTAGTTTTTAAAACAACAGATAATTTAATATTTCAGTTTCTGCTTTAAAGGGCCCATTCAAGGAATATGTCACTGAAAGAAGGCAAAAAAAACCATATATTAACCTTCAAATAAAAAAAATACACCTAGTATTTGTCCTGATAGTGCTCTCTTAGTCTTTTTCGAACCTGAAAGTAATTTTTGCACCAGGTGCTATCAGCAGGTATAAGCATAGTTTTGCACCATTTGCTGGTTATACTTTCTCACCCAGCAATCAACTCAGCATCGAAATCTGAATGCTGACGTGCTTATCCCCATTTCATTTTGGACTTTTTCTTCCAAAAAAAAGAAAAAGTCCAAAAAAATCTCTGGAAGTTGGTGACCAGTTAAAGGGGAATTTCGTTTTTTTTTT